GTATCCCTTGTCAATTGTGGAATCAACTGTAAAACTAAATAAGATATATGCGAACCATCAATTTAATTTAAAAGATTAAACTGTTAAGTAAAGTTTATATTAATTTTATATTTTTTTAACATGTCCCTTACCCAAATGTTTATTGAGTTTGAAAGGTAAACAGTACAGGATTGATGATGATCCAACTCGTGACTAGCTATGGTAAATAAAACTTTTATATTATACTAAATAATTAATTAAACCCAAAAATTTAAAATCTTAATTGAAGGTCGCGTAAATTCTTCTATATTTCTCTAATATATATTTTCAGTTTTTTCTAGCATTAATAATGCAACTACGAATCTAACACAACACTGGATTAGAATTAGGGGTGTGCAAAAAAATTGATTCATTTGCCCTGCCTTTGATCTAATCTTGATCTGATCTTGATCTGATTCATAAATATTTATTTTTTTTGAACTGGATTTAAATACTGACCCACTTTTATTTGGGTCAGTTTTAAACCTAACTTATTTAATATTTGACCCATTGATCCAAAACTTGACCCATATTCATTATGTGGAAAAAAAAATCACAATCTCAGTTCCTGTTTAAACTATATTTTATTTTTGAAAAACACTATATTTTATGTATACACACACAACACACGAGATGAGTGGATATTATATGACATAAACATCACGATAATGTTCTAAAGTTTCAAATTATGTGATGATATCCACACGAGATGACCAAAGGCAATGAAAAAAATTGTTACACTAGTGTGAATAAAATACACTCATTAATGTGAAAGAATTAATTGATGACTATATTTATTTATTATCTAACAATGATTTATACCTCTGATTAATTTACATAAAAAAATGTGTATTAGTATATGAGAAGAAATTTTGAACTTGTAGTTTTACTTTATGATGGTGAAAGAGGAATTGTTAAGAACTCAGAACCAACTTGTTCAGAATGCTGAAAATATCCACGAGGAAAAAGATTGTTCTGATTAGTGGGTGGATTAATTGTTGCTGTTAGAGGGCTAAACAACTAATTTGAAAGTGGTGGAGAAGCAGAATTAGTATTTAGACTTTTATCATGTAAATCATCCATCCATTTACTTGTACTTCCTGCTAACTCCTTCTTCTCTCTCTTCTATTTCCTTGAGAAGAAAATCAACCCACAGATTTGCAAAGCATTGAAAGGAGAATAAGAACTTATTCAAATCTAAATTCGTGATATGGGAAACTCGTCAAAGTTGATTGAGTTAAATGTGACAAGACCAATATGCAATGCAGCATTTGTAAACAACATATGGATAAATAAATAAATTACATGAGTTTAAAAATTAAACCAATAACTATAAAAAAAAAAATCAAATTAAAAATATGTTTTGAAACCAAGTCAGAAATGGGTCAGGTCGAATTTGACCCGATTTTGAAACCAAGTCAGACTCACTTTAGAAATCAAGTCAGGTCAGATCCGACTCAGTTTTGAACTAGTTCAAAAAAATTCAAATCAAGTCAGATCTGACTTGGATCAATTTAAAACGGGTCGGGTCAAATACCCGATCTATAAAAACTAAGTTGAGTCGGATCGGCACAAAAATCTAACTCGACCTAACCCATGTACAGCCCTAGTCAGAATAGCTACTAGTTATGCTTGTTGGAAATAATCAAGTATGAGTTGTAAAGAAGTACCACATAGATTAGATATAGACCAAGTGATGACCATATAAGTGTGAAAGACCCATAAACCTACAGCTTTAAGGTTTTGGGCTCCCTCGTTCAGTTCCCAACAGTGGTATCAGAGTCAACAATCTGGGCCAAGTGTTTGGAATGCCTCTGCAGAAGGCTAGTGTGACCCTAATATTTGAAAGAGAAAAAAAAAAGACTTCCGCAGAAGTTGCCCTTAGAGTAAGAATGATATTGGGCCTCACACTTAATGGAGGATGTTGGAAATAATCAAGTATGAGTTGTAAAGAAGTACCATATAAACTAGATATAGACCAAGTGATGACCATATAAGTGTGAAAGACCTATAAACCTACAGCCTTAAGGTTTTCGGTTGAGATGTGGTGTCGGTCCACTTATTATGATTTGTCATTTGGCCCATTGTAGGGGTGTCAATATGGGTTGACACGACACGAATTCGACACGACACGAATTCGACACGACACGAATACATCAACACGAACACGACACGAATTTTCATTCGTGTCAAAATCTTCAACACTGACACGACACGAATATTTTGCGGGTTGACACGACACGACACGAATAACACGCAAAATAGAGGACAAAACGGTAATTGGCAAAAAAAAATTAAAAAAATAGATCAAAAATAAATAAAAAGTAAAAAAAAATTAAAAAATAAAAATAATACAGGTCGACACGAACACGAATTCATAAACACGAACACGACACGAATTTTTTTACAGGTCAACCCGAACACGAATTTCCGTGTCGTGTCGCGGGTTGACTCGCGTGTCAAAACCCATATTGACACCCCTAGCTCATTGGTAGATGTACCCTTTGCAAAGAGTTTTGGGCTCCCTCGTTCAATTCCCAATAATGCTCGAAGGGAAAATTATAACGGAGTTAGTAAATGAAAATACTTAATGTAGTTGGTACTAAAATCAATAAAATTATTTTAGGTGAACTAAGGACCTGCTTTAAAGTTTTTGTCCTCTCCTAAACTCACTCAACCCAAATCAATCGCTCTTGGTCTGTTCCCCCAACGTAATTCATTTGGTTTTTATTGAGCCAATGCAATACGACATTACGACCCCCTGTTTCCTTAACTAAAGCAAAATGGAACCTACCTCCTCTATTCTTCTAGGTACTAGTAGTTCTTTATCTCTGATTTTCGCTACTCCTCTTGTATTTGGATCACTACTTGCGCTTTCCTCTTTTGAAATATTGAAACCTAGATCATGCTTTGTTTGATCGTAAAAATCATTTATTTGTTTTTCAAATTTTACAATTACGGCACTGAAGTTTTGGAAAGTTTAAAAGAAGAGTAAATACCCTTTTTGTACTCAGCAAATTTTAAATTTCACGACGCCCGCTTTAGTCCCTAGCAAATAAAAAGGCCCATTGTGGTCCCTAAGAAATTCAAAATGGATTCATTTAGTTGAAATCGTGGTCCCTCACAAATTCAAAAAAGACCCATGTTAGTCCCTAAAAGGACTAAAATGGGTCCATTTTAAATTTCTTAGGGACCACGATAGGCCTTTTTATTTGCTAGGGACTAAAGCGAAATCGTGAAATTTGCTGAGGACCAAAAATGGTATTTACTCTTAAAAGAAGAGTAAATACCCTTTTTGGTCCCTAATAAAAAACACGGTCTCCACTTTACTCCCTTACAAAAATAAATTAATCAGTTAGTCCCTAACAAATTCAAAGTGGACCCATTTAGTTGAAATTGTGGTCCCTCACAAATTCAAAAAAGATCCATATTAGTCCCTCAAAAGGACTAAAATGGGTCCACTTTGAATTTGTTAGAGACTTACTGACTAATTTATTTTTGTAAGGGACTAAAGTGGGGACCGTGTTTTTTGTTAGGGACCCAAAAAAGTATTTACTCTTAAAATAATGATAAATTTTCTCAATCAATAGAAAAAAAAGAGTAAATATCATTTTTGATCCCTAACAAAAAACACAATCCTCACTTTAGCCCCTTACAAAAATAAATTAGTCAGTTACTCTCTAAGAAATTCAAGGTGGACTCATTTTAGTCCTTTTGAGGGACTAATATGGATCTTTTTTAAATTTGTGAGGGACCACGATTTCAACTAAATAGGTTCACTTTGAATTTGTTAGGGACTAACTGACTAATTTATTTTTGTAAGGGACTAAAATGAGAACCGTATTTTTTGTTAAGGACTAAAAAAAGTATTTACTCAAAAAAAAAAAAAAAGAATGATAAATTTTACAATCAAATTAAGCCAAGACTAGCATTGTACTCATTCAACTATACTCTCTTCCGATACAAATGAGTGTGATTTTGGGGTGTGTTTATTGGAGAAGATGAATGATAATAGAAATTGGAATGATTAATCATCTTATTATTTTTTGGAGATATTCCAATCGATTCATCGTTTCGCGACTAGTTCGATTTGGGGCGAATTTCGAAATCAAGATTTTAAACCCCTCTCAAAAATGATGATTAATCATATTTGATATAAGTATGTTTCCCATTAAGGTTTTTTTGTGTGTTTAATCTATTTTTGTTATTTGCCAAAATTAAAAACAGTTTGCTCCATTCCTAATTATTAGGATAGAGTTTGTTTATATACATTGTGTAGACTACATTAATTAATAATCCATACATCATTATTTTATAATAATTAATAAATCAATATGATTGGACAGAAGAAAAATAAATTAAAAAAAAAGGTGGTCAAAATGGACCAGTTTCTCTCAAAGGGTATAAAGTATGCGTCTCCACACGAAAAAAATTTATATACGAATATCGAATTTGGTACTCCTTTTTTCTCAATTTGAAAAAACTTAGTTCTATTTCAATACTTTCTTTTTTTTATATTTCCCATTAAATTTTGAAGTTTTTCTTTTTTTAGAAACATCGGTAATACCAAAAAAGTGCTAGTCTCCACACTCCTTTTTCCTGCCTATAGTTTTTATTTTTTAATTGTCTATTGTAACGATAGAAAAATCTATTGGAAACTCCAGAAAAAAATGGCTTAAAAACAAAACACTGTGAAAAGGATATAAAAGTAACAACAATACTAAATTAAAAACATCCTTTTATTATAGGGTTTAATAAGAGTTATGTTGTAGGAAAAATGATTGTGTTATGTTATAGAGATTCGTTTTGCGTGCCAGAGTTTTTTTTTTTTTTTTGGTTTCAAAAATTATGGGTCCCACAAAATGTTATGTGTGTAGGAAAGTTGTTGTGGTCATGTTAAATTATAGATACAAAACCCTTTATTATAACATAACAATACAAGACATACACCCACGTACATACATATCACCTCATAATATATTACATTGAAAGTGATGCTTTATTAGTATATATTTTTCTTTCTTATATCAGAGACAACAAACTATAAATTTATTTATTATAATTTTTATCTTTTTAATTGTCCTTATTGATTATAATACTATTTATCATTCTTCCCTCTGAAGAGGTTAGACACACCTACAAAGGGTTACGCCATCCCCAACAGAAAGAAGAGCTGATTCGATGCGAGAATCGTTGGCTATAAAAGCATTGAATTCAAGCAAAGGCTTTCGTTTCTTCCTTATGATATCATCTATGTCATCGTCCTCAGACATGACCACTGAACCATACCATAAGGTGTTGTCGTATGCAATTATCCCACCCTTCTTCACCAATTTTAACAGCAGATCGTGATACTTCATGTATTCTTCCTTGTCAGCGTCCACAAATATATAATCAAATGATTCTTCTTGTTTGCCCTGCATTTTTTGGCTTTTTTATTTTTGTTTTTCACTAGACTAGATCTCTAATTGCAATTCAAGGACAACAAGGTATATTATATAAAAAGGATGTTAAATAAACTACAACAATGACTTCGAATAGAAATACTATCAAGAAAATCCATAATTGTAATTAATTAATTAAAATTTGAATCTCTTACCATAAATTCTTACCATAACAGTTAGTGATGGGTCTCCTTTTAGCCTTTAGGTATTGGAAATTTGGAAATAATAAGTCAAAACACCAAACGCCAACCAAAAAATTTATGATTAAATTATTTTAAATATTCAATTTCTCAAGTAAACATCCAGTAACCTCTTAAATTCAATTTATAGTGAATTTACAATTTAGAATTTAATTTATATTATTTTTATTAGAAAAAGAGTAAGGACGACCATGAACTTTGTTATGAATAAATGCCTCAATAAAAAAAAATAAAAAAAATTGAACCCTTAAGAATGAATTAGTAACGAACGAATTTGATAGTTTACATTAGAATTTTAATTACTTTTAAAAAATTTGCTCAAACTATGATTATTCGAAAGCTTTTAAATGTCCAAAGAAACATGCTAATAATTATATTACAAAAGTCATTACTAAATCAAAGAACAATTAATCATCTAGTAAGTTCTCTCATTTCCTTACTTACAAAAAGAAAAGGTAAAGCGAGTTTAAAATCAATAGTGGTTGAGTTTAATTTTGATTTGTTAAAAATCACGTATCATTAAAAAGCTTTAACTATAATTATACCATTCGAAACTTTGAATAATACCAAATAATAAAACAAATAATATTTTGACACACCTTATTAAGTAATATAAAAAAATTTAAATCAAATTAAACTCATAAAAAGTATATATCATTCAGCGAAAGAGTTCAGCACTTCAACTGATGACAAAACTACAAAGGCAGATTCGAGTTTAGTTAAAACATAGCCTCTTTTCTCTTATAATCACTCTAGTTATTATTAGATTAAAATTAAATCAACGGCTCTCACGTGATGGTATTTTGTAACCGTTGATTTGATCTTTATCTAATGATGAAAAAATTAATATCACGTCCAAGAGGAGAGAGTTTGTGGTAGGGCAGAAGTATGGTGGCCCCCTCCAAAAAAAAAAAGGAATTGAAAGGAAAAAAACAAAAAAATAAGAGATAAAAATGAAAAAAAAAATATTTATGAAAAAGGAACTACCGAGAAAATGGTGAGGCAGGAGCATAAGTTTTTCTGTCCAAGAGTAAGAGGTGATTGTATAACATACATTCCCCTTCTTTATATTATTCTTCTTTTTATCAATTTATTTTAAAAATTGTCAGTCCACAACACAAGTATCAGTGACGAATACTGTGACAGTAATTTTGTTTAGTGAATCCAAAATTGAGGTGTATAATATAATTTACAATTTATTAACTAAAAGAAGAACATTCGGGGTTTGGTTATAATTTTTTATGAGGAACTATATATACTCTTATTATTTTAATTTTTTGTAATATTTACTCATATTTGCAAAGGCAGGGAAAATATATCAAAAGTTATTTAAAAAAAAAAAAAAAAAAAACTTACATCAATAAGATCATTGAGGGCTGATAATCCATCCCCAAGGATAAAGTCAATTTTGTGCTCCACTCCTGCCTTCTGAATGAAGGGCAATCCAAGCTCGTATGCTTCTCTATCCACATCAATTGCTGTTACCTGGAACGCACGACAAAATCTTTTTTGTTTTATTAGCATATGAATGTTTATCATATTCTTAAGATGAAGAACTAAACTCTTTTAGTGGCAGAACGTCAAATGATTAAATGATATCATATAAAAAAAATATATATATATCGAATAGTTGATTTGTGCTGCTAGTTGTGGCCTACATAATCACATAAAGAAATGGTTTAACGAGGGATGCTAAGATTGAATGAGATACAACCTTTCCATCAGGAGGCAGAGCAAGAGCTGTAGCAAGAAGAGAATAACCAGTGAAGACTCCAATTTCTAGTGTTTTCTTCGCGTTCATGATTTTTAGAAGAATAGATATGAACTGGGCTTCATCCACTGGCACATTCATCATATGATCCCTGCCAAACATATATATCATCCCTTTTATGAAAAATATACTTCAGCACAAATTACTATCCTATCATTATGTTCTTCATTAGAATATTCAAAAAGAAGGAAACAGAAAAAGAAGGAGGAAAAAAAAATGTAAGATCCAATTAACTTACTGTGTTCTCTCGTACTTCTTAAAGGTGTTCTCTCGGATTAGCTTCAATTGCTCGTGTTCTTTTGGATAGCCACTCGTTTCAAGGATATACTGTTCAATATGTGCGCAAAAGTTATTATTTCTATTTTGTATACTTTAGTAAAGACACGGCCAATGGGTGAAAGAACATTTAGATTTATTAATAGATTTGAAGTTATTATATATTTAGATGTGAAATTTGAAACAGCCTCCTACATTCTCCCATATCAAATTAAAGATTGCATTACATATATGGAATGGAATATGTAGTATATACATAGATGAATTAATTGGCTTAATATAAATTACCTTAAGAAGTGCGGGACTTTGGAGGATGTTCTTATTCATGGTTGAAGTACAGTGCAAACTGCAGACTGTAGAGTAGCTGTAGATGAGTGACTGAGTTCTTATTCTCAGTTCACTAGCTTTATATAGAAGTGTAAACCAAAGTTGAGATTCGGGTAGGGTAGAAACAACCCTTCCAACTGTCACGGTTGGAATACATTTTTCTGACCACGTGAATGTTTTTCAATGACGGTCATCAAAAGGAAGTATTGTCTAATCTTCTTTCCAATGAGTTGACGTCACCACTTACGACGTAGATTGCGTCGATATTCTCTAGTTATGAGTCTAGGTTAAAAATTTCAATATCTCGTGATTAATATTTTATTAACTGCACTGCAGATCAACTCCGGTGGTTTTTTAATCACGGTCAAAGTTGAATTATTAATTTCCTTCGCCCCAAAGTATTATTATGATTATATATTATTTGGACATTGAAACATAATAACAATTCTTTAATTGGGAACATGGGGAATGGGAAGTTGAATTCAGGGGCATTTGATTGAGAATAATTTTTTTTTTCTTGGGAATCACATTTATCAAAAATATGATGTGAAAATAATTTTTTTGAAAATATGATCAAAAAATTATTTGATAAACTAAAATATTAACTCAAGTTTACTGATTCAATGTTTGGTTAATTATTAAATATTACTGAATATTTTGGGTGATTTTATAAAAATAACCTCAAAACTACATTGTTATGTTAAATTCAAAGTAAATGCGCACAAAGTATCTATACTTTTACTTTACAACAAGCTCAACAGTTTATCAAAACCGCTGAAGTAGGAAAGCACATGTTTATTAGAGATGAGAAGCAATAGTTGTAAATAAAATCAACGCTGATAAAAGATGAAAGAGTTTTTAGACTTACGTAAATAATCATTCTCGATTACGAATTCAAAATTAAACTTGATTAATATTCCAAAGCGTCCCCTAAGATAGTAAAGGATGAGAAGATATCAATCTTGAACATAAGGAATGAGTGTTGTGGGCCAAACAGAACCTTCATCAACAAATATGCAAGTTGGTGGGCTTAAAAGGATAGGAAAAACTTATAGGTCCTATGTAGCCACTAAATCACATACAAAATGGTAGTCACTAGCAAAATGCATCATGCGGGAGTGAAAAACGGCATTGGCACGAAGGATACATCACGCCAATGTTGTTGAAGTAGAAGGTATGTGGCCCGGTTGATGTTATGCCCAGTTCCTAGATACGTCGTTTTATCCCATATAAGCTCAGCTCTTGTACGGTTCGATATTCCACTTTAGTTGATGAATGAGTAACAATTTTGTGCTTTCGACATACCCATGAGGAATAAATCTTTAGTGCATCTGCCCAATCATTTTGTGACACATGGACAAAAAAAATCATGCCATCTGCTTTTTTTAGATGACGTCATTTTTTTGTCCACGTGTTATAAAATGAATGGACAGATGTATCGAAACATCTGATACACTAAATTTATTCGTCCATGAGATTGCATCACTGCCAAAGTATACAATGTAACACGTGGTGGATTTGCAGTTATCTTGGTCACCGGCATAATATTCACAACAAAATCCATCGAGTTGCAATGTTAGGTCTTTTATCAAGTGCAATCCAAGGTGGACATAAGTAGCACTAAAGGTTTTGAGTTTGACATAATTGGGAACTGACTTGAAGAGGATTCTAATATAGACTTTTCATTTTTAAAACAGGAGTTGAAGTAAATTAATAAGGTATGCAACAACCATTACAGCATAACTTCAAAAGGTGTGTGGTAAAGAAGCATATTTAAGAGTATAATGGAATGGAAAGGGTGCGAATTAACTTATGACTGTTATTGGATAGATAATCAACATAACCATTATTGGGAGTAAACACGGGTAGATTGCAATGACATATTTATTGGTGAAGCCAACATCCTACTTTGACAAGACTCGATGTGGGTCTCGAATCGAAACATGACGTTTGGATTTATAAGGGTAAGTAGAAAAGGTTATGCCATGCTATAGTTTTTGAACCAATGATAAGTGCTCAATACAACATTTATGATCAAAGCAGAGGTCATGGATTCAATTCCCCGATATGATACTTTGCGGAAAGCAAGTTTTGGGGGATTGATGGCCAATACCCTACCTTGACAAGGCCCAATGTGAGTTAGAATCCAGTCAAACCATACGCTTGGGCTGATAAGAATAAATAGAAAGATATCATTATTCAAAGCCTTCTCCGTAAATGGAAAATATTCAATAGAAACATCACTGATTAGTTTGACAAAATCGAGAAACAGAAAGCAAGTTATTAGTAACAGAGGGAACACATATAATACTTGAAAGAAGGTGGGAATGCTGAAGGAACCTATGTGCAATAGGAAAACCCTTAGGGGGCTTTTGGTAGAGGAAATTTTTTTGGAATAGTAGGGAAATGTAATAGATAGAGAAATGATTGGAAAGATAGATAAAGTGAGATAGGTAGAAAAATGTAAAAAAAAGTTGTTTGGTGGGAAAAAACTTTACTGGGAAAATTAGGTAACTTTATGAAATCAACAATGCATTAAAAGCCAGATAACTGGTTTTCCGAAAAATCCCACCTTCAAATTGGGTTTCTAAACAGTGCGGATATCTATGTTTCTCATAAATCCATACAAATTGGATATCTGAATTTTTGGTGAAAATACGTTGAAATAAACATGGTGTTTCTAAAAGCCATACTTGAGAAACATAGATATTCACTGAAAAGCTCCCAACCAAATACCACCTTATTCTTTGCTACCAAGAGTCAATTAGAGTGTGTATAGTTGACTTAATGGGCAAATCGTTTACCTCATTATTGAAGTGATAAGAGGCTCCAAAGTTTACGAGCAATGTAGGAGCAGAGCTCGAGGTACTAATGGCCATATTAATGGCAGGAGCAATGGGATTTGGTGAATGTCTATGAATTTTGAATTAAGTTTTGGAAATATAACCTTTTTTTACTGGCACACAACAAGAAAGCTAAGCAAACCATTCTTCTCTAAATTTGGAGATTGAAAATAAGCAGAAGAGATATCAGATTTTGGAATGTAGAGAGTAGTACAACACACAAACCTGACATAATTTATTTATTTGCGTGTGGTTATTACTAACGCTCTCTCGTGTAGTTAGAATCACAGTTTTGTTTTGCAGCTCAGGAAATAGTTTAGGTTTCTGCACGTTTGTAAGCTTTAAGCACGCACTGCACTAATACTTACCTCATCCTCTTATTTTGGTGCTGTTCCTGAATTTGGAACACCACAAGGCTAAAAGAGATTTTAGTAATGTTAATGTGAGGCTTACAGGTGTTGATTATGACACACAAATTGTAACTAGTGCCTGTTTGGATCCTCTTATTTTTAAGCTATAAGCTACTTATAAGCATAAACTAGGCCAAACGGATTTTGAAAAAAGCTCTTATAACGAAAAACTCTTTTTTTTATAATGAAGAAAAAAACTGAAAATTAAAAACTCCTAGGAGGAGCTTTTTTTTAAGCTCTTTTCTGTTTTTTTGAATTGTGTGCTTTTTTTGAAAATGAAGAGTGATAAAAATAGAGAGAGAAATAATTTTCTTGAAATGTGTGCTTTTAACTAATTTTTAAACTAAAATTCTTATGTAATTTTCAAACAGTTTTTAGCTTCTTTTTTTTAACTTTAGCTTATAAATAGTTTCTAACTTAAAAATAAGAGAATCCAAACAAGCTCTGGATTTTCAAATTGTGACTTATTTGTTGGTTAGGCTCATGGAACTGTTTCTTAATCTTATGGACGAGGATAAAGGTAATTTTGTCTTATTTATTAAAAAATAAGAAATTTCGATCTTCTGCATTACATGTATTAATAAAGTATTTGGGCTTGTTTACCAAAAAAAAAAGTATTTGGGCTTGAAAAAAAAAATAGTTAACCAACTAATATGCAAAAATAAACATGAAAATCTTTTTAAAAACTCTTCTTTATCCATAAGAAAATTAGCTTTAATAAAATAAATAATAAAACCATTATTAGTATACGGGGGTCACTAAAAAAAATTCTTTCATTAAATAAAGAGAATTTGATGTGGCATTGGACACATTTGCATGAGAACTAAAAAAAAAATCATAAAAAAATTACATCCTATTCTAGCATTAACTTTCTGGTTTAAAAAAAAAAAAAAAAAAGACACATTTTTTTTTTTTTTTTTTTTTTGGAAATAACATTTTTTTTCTTTTCGGTGGGTAGTCAACACTCAACAGGATTTTTTCTAGTTTGAAGATTCTTTTTTCTTTTAGTTGGTCCTTCTAACTTCATTAGTTCAGGAAAAATATTTCCTCTTCCATCGGTAACATCCTTCTCAACTTCAATCATATGATGGCTTAATTTAAAGAAGTTATTCCCTAATATTATTACAGCTTATTTGATCATTTGTATGAATATGAATCATCATTGGTCATCTTTTTTTCTTTCAGTCGAAGCCTTTTTCCTCCATTAATTGATATATGTTTTCACTTCCACTAATCAATACATAATAGTTAGAAAATGAAAGCATCAAATCCATCAAGACCAGGGACAACTTCTTGAGTTTCTCCAATTATATTGACTAAATTTCTTTGTTCCTCTTCTATTTCTTCAACCATGTCCAGCAATTTGGTCCTAAGTGTGAGCATTTCCCTTCTAAGCTTCCCCACTCCTTGTAAATGTAAGTGCCTTGACTAACTGAATGCCCCACTAATAAATTTGTTCACAATATCAGAGTTATCAAAAACCAAATTGTCGATATACTTAAGTTATTATTTAATGTTGCAGGGATACCACTGTTTTATATTTTGAAAATGATCACAAATCAGGATTGCCCCACTCGTAAAGTACATTCATTCACCACATTTCACATGAACTACTTAAGATTCCAAGGGAAGAGATTTTGGAAGGTAGAGAACTATAACACACAAACCTGGCATAATTTAATTATTTGCGGGTAGTTATTACCAACTGCTCTCTCGTGTAACAAAGAAACTTAAAAAGCTCCACGCATTCAACTCCCAAATTGAATCCCTTGCCAATCACAGAGTCAACTGTAAAACAGAAGTAATAAGGTTAGTTACATATTTGTCAAGCATTTATACAAGAGCAATACTCAAAATCAAGAATCTAGAATGTAAAAGTTCCATCCTACATGAAAATCATATTTGCAGAAGTTCCAAAAATATGAGGATGATGTCTTTACCTTATTTATATTGCACCAACGGGAATTGCAAACAACCGCCATCACAGGGAAACTGGATAAAAAATGTAAATTCAACTCCTTCGAATATTTGACAACCAAATCATACATTCAAAATACATAAAAGTAAATGAATTCAAATGAATTTTATGATTAACTTCAATTCTATATCATGAATGGAGATATAGAGATTAAATTGGGTGAACTGGAGAACGACAAAGTGAAAATTGAAATCCCTTTCTCCCATATCTTTCCCCCATCCTGAGACCATATCTTCATTTGCACAACTAGAAAGTCCATATCAAACAAAAATGACAAAGAGAAACAACAATTTCACATTAGGAAGTGACAGAATATCACTGAATTGCCATTGGCACAGGGAATGTTCATAAAGATAATGCTCCCAAGTGAGATGTAACGTAACTGTCACCCAAATCAGAGACCAAAACAAATCAACTGATAAAAACTTCTACAAAAATCACTATTTTAAAATGCTGAGATAAGAGGACATGTCAATGATATTCTTCCCTTTCAGGGATTGTCACTGTAACTGAAGAAAGTGAATGTACAAGATCAACATCGAAAGCTTCAAAAATCATCTCTTCTGCCACCAATCTGGAATTTTTAACCTCCGGCTTCTATGAACCGAAAGTCTGACCCCTGGAAGCTTGTGCTTGACCTGTCTCCACAGCATATTAACAGCATCTTCTCTTTTCGGAGGGTACTGGAATTCATAATGATGTGAGATGTTTTTAAGCTCCCTCCACATTTCAGTCCATTTCTCCTTTGGAAATTTACGAAGCTGATTGATCATGTAGCCAGGCTGTAAAGCTTCTTTGAAAGAGAAGAACACTGAGAACTGGGAGTAGTCAATCTCATCCTCAAATGGGAGTTCAATTTGATCACTCACAATGACAGGAACACAGTGACTGACAATGGCATCAAAAAGACGACAGGATGATGGTGTGTCTCCTGCTGGATGCAAACAAAACTTTGAGGAACGCATCCCCTTAGATGACTGTTGCAACAGAAGCAGTGGATAAAGGAATACTATAGTTAATGATCTTAGCATGATAAGAAAAGGGGGAACAAAAGGAAAGAAAAAATAAAATAAAATCAATTGACTATATTTCCTCTCCCCCAGTAAAGATAGTAACTTAACTTGATTATATTGAAAAGGAAGTTTCAAGGACTCTGCACCCTCAAAATAGAGGATTTTTGATTCAGGGTATCATACGAATGTTTTCGAGAGAGGAAAAAAAAATCTTAAACTAGTAGTCTTTCACCAATAAGAGATTTTTTTTCACATTAGTGATTGTATTCTGTATCTAACACGTGAAAATAAAAAAAATTCCCCTCTATACAAGTAATTCATGTTGTCCACAAAAGCATCTTGCATCTCAACATTCAAATTCTCAGAGTTGGAATGTATGGGGAAAGCATTACGTAGAGAAGAGCAATACACAATTGATCAGTCCCTATTGTGTAAGTTATCCAAAATATCTTTTCCTTTTTTAAAGGGATCCTCGCCTTTGACTGACAATGATGAAGAAGAAAAATAATTGTAAAATCAATCTTTTAACTTTAAGAAATGGTCAACCATCCAACTAAAGGTAAGCAAAAAAACAGCACGAGTAAAGATCAATTACATAACTACTCTGCATACCGCTTTTATGTTTTCTTCTGAAGCAACACTTCGCTCATAGTGAACATCATCATAACCATCCAATATCTTAGCTAGTTTAGCTCGGATAATGCCTTCCTGCAAACATCGCAGACCCCACATAATCAATTTTCATGGAATTTTAATAAATACGGATTATTATTCTTTCAAATAACTCTCAACCAGACATACATCCTTCCTGAAAGTCCTCCCACGGAAGAAAAGCAGCGTGGAGCGAGAGCTGTACGCATCTTGAGCCTCATCATCAGTAAAAGAATCCACAACATGCACATACGGGGACACCACATCTTTGTTCAAATTAGACATGCCTTTGGGGTAGCGGCCAAAATCCACAACAACCTGAATAGATTCATTCAGTTGATTTCGCAGGAACCTAAAGGCATTGGGGTGTGTCATAGGAAATACATGGTCTCTACCTCTAGACCTCTGCCAGTATTTGGATTTCCTTAAGAATTCTATTACATCAACCTGACACCAGAAACAAGACCCGCTTAACATTAACCATGTAACATATACATCAAAAATGACATTTATCATCTTATAAAACATTTGAAAAAACATAAAATGATTATAACAAATCATAAGCAAAGGATAATTGCAAACATAAGTAAAATAAGTGTAGCAGTAAAACTAATGGCATTTCAATTAAATGATTCATCAATCAATTTCCAAAAGAAACAAACCATAAATAATTAGTTTATGCCTCCAACAATTAGGAACGGTGAAACATAGCCATGAATCGATGACGCACCTGCAATTGGCGATCAATCTCATTGGCCGGATCCGTCATAGTGTGGCCGTGCGTGTTGAAACTCAGCGAAGAGAAAAATGGCACGAAGAACGCGTCAGCGAGTTCCGGATCCGAAACCCTAATCGCTTCTCTGCGCTCACCGTCGTCGCCACCGTGGAGGAGCGAGCCCATCATCCAGTACTCCACGCTGTGCTGCTTCTTCAGCCCCGAGTTACCCGGCCACGGCGGCCAGTCCAGGACTGTGACAGGAGCTTCCTCCGTGCTACGGCGATTAATCATGCCTACGTTGAAGCGGCGTGGGAGATCGTACATGTAGACCCGGAGAGGCGGGTCGGGTCCGCATGGAGCGGGCGTGGGTGATTTTAAGAGAGGGAAGAAATAAGATCGAATGTCGAGAGTGCCTATGAAAATTGAGTAAGAAAGGACGAGCAAGAGCACGAAAATGAATGAAAGAACCACTTTTCCATACATGATTTCCTTTTTTAAAAAATTTCGGGAATTATAATCACCCTGATGTTACGTTTTTCTTCTTCTGCTACTGCTGCTTCTGATAGGAGTTGCTTTCTTGTGCTCATTTTCATTCTCATCAGCAAATAGCATTCACCGTGTATCTAAATCTACCTCTGAAGCGTCGCCGAGGCAAAGGTGGAGTGCACGAAGATGCATTTCTTCACGAGTGAGCTTACGTCGTTTCAAGTATTTTAATGGAGCGTTTAATTTTTTTAATGTTTCAACGCATACAAATGTGGATGTGGATGAGATCTATTTTTTTGTTTTCTCTCTTTTTTTAGTAGATCTTATTGTGTTGCATGAGATAATTTATTTCATGTAACATGAAAAAAAATGAAATCATTTAATTAAATAATATGGTAGTAATATTAATGTTACTCCATATTATTATTTTTACAAATTAAATTTAATAATTAATTATTGAATCACAATAAATAATAATCGTTAATTGACAAAATTTGACCATTAAGATATGATAGTAACATTATTTGGTAATAATAATATCTTTTATATATATATATATATATATATATATATATTGGATGACTCTTATTAATTAATGATGACTTTTTACCACCAATTAAGTTTATAATTTTTTATTATGAAATCTTAACTGTTGATTTTCGTTAATCTGACATTTATAATTTATTGGATGACATTTATTAATTAATTATTAATTTTCAATAAATTATAAATGTCAAATTAACGGAACATTAAAATTTAGTAGTAAGAAGTGATAAACTTAATTGTTTGTAAGTATATCTATCCTCTCTCTTTATATATAAATGCGACCAAATAATTTCTAATAAATAATAACCGTTAGATTGACGGAAATCAACGGTGATTATGTTGGTTGTAAAGGTTGTAAACTTTTTTGGTGGTAAGGGGATCCGTTCCCTATATATATACACAGGAAAGATATACTTACCACCAAAAAAGTTTACAACATTTACAACTAACCTAATCAACATTGATTTCCGTCAATCTAACGGTTATAATTTATAGAAATTATTGGGTCATTTATTAATTATTATTAATTTCCAATAAATTATAACCGTTGGATCACGGGGTCAATGGTGATTAGGTTGGTTGTAAACTCTTTTGGTGATAAGTATATCATTTCCTATATATGTGTGTGTGAAAAATTATTTCTGTTTTTATTGCAAATACAGATTTTCTATCACGCTCACATAAAAGTGAGTGGATCTCACAAGCTTTTTCTTTCACTTCTCTTTATAATAATAGGACTCGTTTACTTTTATGTGAGTGTAAACATAAACATTAAACTCATACATATATGAATATAATTATTTATTATTCACTTCATTATGTATCATTGATCCCAATTTCATTAAATATTTGTTCAATTGATTAACTAGTCACAAGAAATAATATAATTACCTTAAAACACTGTATCGTTTAAGATATAAATACACTTTAAGGAAGCTTATAATCTCTTTAACTCAAATAATAAAAATTCTGCCAACTTCCTTGTAGCTCAATTAATACAGTTATTTAAGATTAATTAAGCATAATGATCATTACTTTTTACTAGTTCACTTGAATTTGTCCTTTGTTCATGTTTTTCACTTTTCACAGGTTCAATCTGAATGGATTGTTAAATATTAGATTCCTTTCTTGGAAATTTTTATATATACGATAATTATTAATTAATTAATATTGTATTCTAAAATTGATTGGATTACTTGGTATTTTAATTTTAATTAATACGATGAGCCATTGTGATCATGATTGATTAGTCTTTTGACATCTATTAATAGTGGGCCTAATTTAGTAGTATAGTGTAGGCATTGGTGTCTAGTTGGACTCTGTGATGAGTGGACATAATAAACATATTATTGACTAGGGTTATGCTAGGTCATCTATCTAACCTATTTATATTATGGTTAAGCACTATGAGCTGTCATTCTCCCATTGAACGAAGACTGTCATTTTCAAAGTAGGTTGTAAAAAGAAAGATTCTAGTTGTCAAAACAAAATTCTTCGCTCAGTGGATAAAATATTTCAATTAGGTAAGCAAATTCCTCTATAAAAGTATTTGATACGTGGTATTTTATCTATCAAGCATGCTTCGATCTTTATGATATTTTTATTTCAAAAAATTCTTACATCATTGGCCAACGATCAATTATGAAGAAGGTGATAATCGATTATGATATATCATTGGATGCAAGGATGTTAGAGTTTGAAACTAAGGTGTGGTGGTTTATGTGCAGTTCGTATAAGAGATTATGGTTTCATAGTTATGTATATACAGGTGTACCCATGTATTTGCAAAAATAAGTTACCTTAGAGTGTGACTTGGAATGAAAATCTTTCTTCTAAACTTAATATCATTTTTATGCAATGTTATTCAACTCGAACCGATCATCGACTCGGTCATGGTACCGAGTCAGTAGGTCACTGGTTGAACCACATGACCCTAATAGATGTATATAATTTTATACTCAAAATTATATAATAATATTTTAAATGGTGCAATTCAACTAATAACTCAATGTAGCCTATTGATAAGTACCATGTAAGTTAAAAATGGATTGCGGCCTGTTGCGGTCAATCCTGAAAAATGCTATAAGCGCTATAGCAGGTTGCAATTGCGAACATAGCGGAATGGATTAATAAAACCTAGATATACCACACATATATATGCTAAAAAATAAAAACAATCAATAATAATAAAGAAATGCTCCAAAACAAATAGAAATTTCAAGTAGTCAATTAAAAGATCTAAATATTGTCAATATCCAAAACATATTCCATTCCATTTTCATGTTTAAATATAAAAAAAAAACTAATCAGAATCTTGAATTCCACCATCACCAAAGTCTGCTTCAGCCTCACTGTCACTAGTATCTATATTGTACAGTTGTTCTGGCACATCTTCAAGTCCTTCCGTTTCTTTAATTCTCTTTCCCTTAGAGCTTGAAGGCAAAGCAATGGACTTTGTGTGCTCTCTGGTGTAAACTAAAGGCTCATAAGCATTAGTTACATCTGCAATGTCACCCCAGGTAATGGTATCACCCTACAGTACAAGTTCATTCTCATTATGTTCCTCATCTCCACTCATTTCTCCGACCAACTATTCATTGCTTTCATCAATACCATTTAGCAGAATCGGATCAATCAGATCATGATTGTCAAATCGATATTTAAGAGTCTGGTTATTTTTAATATAAATCGAGTCCTCCAACTTCTGATGCTCAAGTCTACTTCGCCTCTTGGAATGAATCTGTTTGATAATTAACAATAAAAAATATTAGTTTCATAATCTGTTATGAAGCTTTATAAATAAAACCATAAAATATTCCATTTGCGCTCACATCTCGAAGAGCTGCAAGTCAAACTCAATACTTTAATGGCAATTTTTTCCAGTGCTCTTGTTTGTGTTTCTTACGTCCCACCATTTCACTGTAATACAAAATATAATAACTCAATAATATGACTAGTTAAATAAATTGTAATAATAAAAGCTTAAAGGGATCAAATACTTATGAGGAGACACTTTATCCCTTTGTCTTTTGGCTGAGTCCATGCCAATAAGACCCCGAGCTTTCTTATATAGCTCCAATACATCCATAACCTGGTCCATCTCATCCGCATTTGCAGTTAGCCTCTTGAAGCATTTTAAATCATCATTAACCACTTCTAAGTGATCATCCAGCCTTAGATTAGAATAAAAAAATCGAGGGTTAAGATAATGCCCATTTGCATGCAAAGGATAATGAAGTTGACAATCTCATCTTCTATCAATGGTACCTAAAATATCTTTATACTTATATTCTTTTCCAGTTCCACGAAATGCATCTTGAATTGCTTCTTTGGCCTTAACCATTGCTTCATAAATGTAACTCACTGCTGACTTTTTTTATTATCAACCATCCTCAGCACACCCACAAGAGGCCTCATAAAAAATGACATCATTCCAAAAAGATGTACTGAGTACAATATCAGATGTCCTTTTCCCCTCAGAATCTTTGGCAGTCTTAGACTTTGACCACTCATCAGAAGTGAACATCCTTTGGAGGTTTTTTTTTTTTACTTATACAACCTCTGCAATATCAGGAATGTGGTAGCAAACCTTGTTACTCCATGTCTCACCAATTCTGTTTTGCTTGTGAACTGTCGCATTGTTCAATGCCAACGAATGATTATAAATGAAACCTACTAGACTGATGCCTCTTTTTATTGTCCTCTTTACTTTATCAAGCTTTCCAAAGCATCAAGTCCAAGCAATGTGCAGCACATAGAGTCCAAAACATGACGTGTAAAAATTTCCCTAACGTCACAAGCATAAAATTAAATTATAAAACGAGTTACAAACAAATTGAAATATTAACAATTAAATGAGTTTGTTGTCTCTTACCGGCCAAAAAATAATTGCTTCCATCACCGGTCATCACTTGAGCAACATTTTGTTCACCAATCTCCATCACAAAAGTGTCCAGAAGTTGACATAATTTCTCACCAGTCTTTACATAAGAAGAAGCATCAACACTCTTGCCAAACATAGTTCCTGATAGACAATTCACCAAGAAATTGATCAAAGTTCTACCCTTCTTTTTTTACCATCCATCAAACATAATAGAACATCCACAATTTACTCTCTCTATCTCGTGCTCTTTCAGTAATTCCTTCATGTACTCTAACTCCTGTTGAAGGAGTGTAACTCTACATTCTTGATAAGATGGAACCTTCAAATGAGGACCATAGTTCCCTGTTGCTTCAACCATTAACTCGAAACTTCTAGAACGTATAACATTGAAAGGTATCTCATTTGTTGCCAAAAACCTCTTAATATATTGAATTGTTATTGCTCTAGCTTTTTTATCACAAGCATCATTGATGCTTGTTTGCCTTTTTCCCAACTTGATGTTGTTTTTTGGTTTTTTTAAGAGAAGTGGGTCCATGAGACCTTTCACGGCCTTACCTTTCTTGGCAGGAACAACAAAGGAATAAATGCCGGATGTTACTCCCTTTTTTCTGGTTTAAAGATTATGGATTTCTCCCACCTCTTCGAGTTCATCATCAGCTTCTTGTAGCTCATTTAGGGAAGCATTTTTATCAGCTAGCTTCCTCTCATATGCTTCCTTGAAAGCACTTATCACTTCTAGAGG